GTTGGAGTATCCCGTACCGTGTATTGCCAGGGTAGATCGTTTCCCCTGTGCCTGTTTTCGTGTGTCGCTACACAGCGCATTTGTGTGCGACAGAATAAACTCTGTATTCGGTGATTTACCCTCCTGCGCCTGACTCCTTCTTTCACACTCATCACAGATCCAGGACCTGCTGCTAACCTGATCTCCTTCCAGCTCAGAGAACGACCTGGAGGAGAGAGAGATTGCATTCGCTCCATTCCAACCTCCTGTGATTCAAATTCCTTTATTACGTATAATAATAATAATATGCCATTTAGCAGACGCTTTTATCCAAAGCGACTTACAGTCATGCGTGCATACATTTTTTTTGTGTATGGGTGGTCCTAGGGATCGAACCCACTACCCTGGCGTTACAAGCGCCATGCTCTACCAGCTGAGCTACAGAGGACCACACGTCATGTCATAGCTCACAAAAATAAATGTTTTAAGGGAAACCCAAGGGCTGTTCTTAAGTGTCCTTTTTTATTTTTAGGCAAAATAACCCAATCAAAACGGAAATCTCCTTGAAAGAGATAATATGCCAGGCCTATTGGGCCAAAATCAATGACGTCCTATTGTATAAATAATAGAACGAAAATGAACGAAACTTTTAAGAGATCAGATTTTTTGTTTATAAATACTTTACTCCAACGACACACTTAGCTAGCTACCCACCGTTCCTTTCTGTTAGCGTGTGCATGTACTAAATGCACCATCATGCTTTTGGGACACGTGTCTTTTCAGATTCCACAGTGATTCTTTAGTTGTGGACACTACATCACCACTCTCTTGCTCTTAGTCCTCATCTTTGTAAATCACCTTGATTTATCACCTGTGTGTTTTATCAGTTTCTTTATATAGAAAGGCTCCAAAATGAAAAGCTTGGGAGGGAGGGAGAGGGGAGTATTTTTATTACAGACCGCCAAATGTAACAGAAGCCTACTCTATTTTGGGGGAGGTGTGTGTGTGTGTGTGTGTGTGTGTGTGTGTGTGTGTGTGTGCGTGCGTGCGTGCGTGCGTGCGTGCGTGCGTGCGTGCGTGCGTGCGGGTGTGTGTGCGTGTGTGTGTGTGTGTGTGTGTGTGTGTGTGTGTGTGTATGAATTTCCCTCTCTTTTTCTCTCTTGCTCTTAGTGAGTGTGTTTACATTCATTCAATTAGATGTGCTAGCTTTCTTTCAAATAAAATAACAAGATGTAAATCAAATACATTAATTTAAACAACAAAAGCAGGATGTAATTGGTTAGGAAACCAATTTAATCAACTCATGTTTTTATATTGTTTATTCCAGTGTTTGGACCACATGGAGTAAACTTGTCTGTGACTGTTGTTGTCTGACCGGTGACTGGCAACTTGTCTGTGACTGTTGTTGTCTGACCGGTGACTGGCAACTTGTCTGTGACTGTTGTTGTCTGACCGGTGACTGGCAACTTGTCTGTGACTGTTGTTGTCTGACCGGTGACTGGCAGTCTGTTGTTCAAAGACCAAGGTTGTATCCCCAATGGTACCCTATTCCCTATATACAGACATTAATCAACAACATACAGTGCATTCGGAAGGTATTCAGACCCCTTGACTTTTTCCACATGTTGTTACGTTACAGCCTTATTCTAAAATTGATTAAATTGTTTTTTCCCCCCCATCAATCTACACACAATACCCCATAATGACAAAGCAAAAACAGGTTTTTAGAAATGTTTGCAAATGTTTTTTTGTTTTTTTACCCGGAAATATCACATTTAAATAAGTATTCAGAACCTTTACTTAGTACATTGTTGAAGCACCTTTGGCAGCGATTACAGCCTTGAGTCTTCTTGGGTATGACGCTACAAGCTTGGCACACCTGTATTTGGGGAGTTTCTCCCATTCTTCTCTGCAGATCCTCTCAAGCTCTGTCAGGTTGGATAGGGAGTGTCACTGCACAGCTATTTTCAGATCTCTTCAGAGATGTTTCGATCGGGTTTCATCAACAAGTAGAAGTTTAAGATTTCAGTTTTCTATAGAGTTACAACTTTAAGGTTGACACAAGAAAAAACAACAGCAACAAAGGATATACTGTATGTTTTGGCTCTTGATGTTTTGGTCTCAAGTCTCTCTTTTTCAGGTCAAGTCTCTCTTTTTCAGGTCAAGTCTCTCTTTTTCAGGTCAAGTCTCTCTTTTTCAGGTCAAGTCTCTCTTTTTCAGGTCAAGTCTCTCTTTTTCAGGTCAAGTCTCTCGCTAGGCCTGATCTGCTGCTGTGGAAAACTGCCCTTATAAACGATGAGATGTGTGTGTGTGTGTGTGTGTGTGTGTGTGTGTGCTTGTTGTACAGTACACATGTTGTACTGTTTTACAGTGTGTCTCTGCTCTCCAACTCTTGATGCAGTACTGATTTCGGTACACATTATTACATTTTCGTTTGAAATACTAATATTTAATTTAATATGCCATTTAGCAGACGCTTTTATCCAAAGCGACTTACAGTCATGCGTGCACTTGATTTAATGCACTTGATTTAATGACTACCGACCCGTAGCACTCACGTCTGTAGCCATGAAGTGCTTTGAAAGGCTGGTCATGGCTCACATCAACACCATTATCCCAGAAACCCTAGATTATCCCAGAAACCCACTCCAATTTGCATACCGCCCCAACAGATCCACAGATGATGCAATCTCTATTGCACTCCACACTGCCCTTTCCCACCTGGACAAGAGGAACACCTATGTGAGAATGCTGTTCATTGACTACAGCTCAGCGTTCAACACCATAGTGCCCTCAAAGCTCATCACTAAACTAAGGATCCTGGGACTAAACACCTCCCTCTGCAACTGGATCCTGGACTTCCTGACGGGCCGCCCCCAGGTGGTAAGGGTAGGTAACAACACATCTGCCACACTGATCCTCAACACGGGGGCCCCTCAGGGGTGCGTGCTCAGTCCCCTCCTGTACTCCCTGTTCACCCATGACTGCATGGCCAGGCACGACCCCAACACCATCATTAAGTTTGCCGACGACACAACAGTGGTAGGTCTGATCACCGACAACGACGAGACAGCCTATAGGGAAGAGGTCAGAGACCTGGCCGTGTGGTGCCAGGACAACAACCTCTCCCTCAATGTGATCAAGACAAAGGAGATGATTGTGGACTACAGGAAAAAAAAGAGGACTGAGCATGCCCCCATTCTCATCGATGGGTCTGTAGTGGAACAGGTTGAGAGCTTCAAGTTCCTTGGTGTCCACATCACCAACAAACTATCATGGTCCAAACAGTCGTGAAGAGGGCACGACAAAGCCTATTCCCCCTCAGGAGACTGAAAAGATTCGGCATGGGTCCTCAGATCCTCAAAAAATTCTACAGCTGCACCATCGAGAGCATCCTGCCTGGTTGCATCACCGCCTGTTATGGCAACTGCTTGGCCTCCGACCGCAAGGCACTACAGAGGGTAGTGCGTACAGCCCAGTACATCACTGGGGCCAAGCTTCCTGCCATCCAGGACCTCTATACCAGGCGGTGTCAGAGGAAGGCCCTCAAAATTGTCAAAGACTCCAGCCACCCTAGTCATAGACTGTTCTCTCTTCTACCGCACGGCAAGCGGTACCGGAGCGCCAAGTCTAGGTCCAAAAGGCTCTTTAACAGCTTCTACCCCCAAGCCATAAGACTCCTGAACAGCTAATCATTGCTACCCGGACTACAGTCCTGCCATCCAGGACCTCTATACCAGGCGGTGTCAGAGGAAGGCCCTCAAAATTGTCAAAGACTCCAGCCACCCTAGTCATAGACTGTTCTCTCTTCTACCGCACGGCATTGACACTGCACCGGTACCCCCTTGTATATAACCTCCCTACTGTTATTTTATTTTACTGCTGCTCTTTAGTTATTTGCCATTCTTTTTGTACTTAACACTTTAAAAAAAATATGCATTGTTGGTTAAGGGCTTGTCAGTCAGCATTTCACTGTAATGTCTACACCTGTTGTATTGGGCGCATGTGGCAAATAAAATGTGATTTGATTTGATGTCCAGGCATTATGTACCTTAACTGTGATGGTTTGTGTCTGGCCAGTACACACGTTTCCCACCGTCACCGATGAGGTCACAACCAGGGTTACCTAGGAGACGGGACAGATGTTAGACGTGTTGGCGTGACACCCTGATATGGACTAACCCGAACAGAGGGAGGAAGAGATGAAAGAAAGAGAGAGTGATGAAAGAGGGGGACATTTTACATTTACGTCATTTAGCAGACGCTCTTATCCAGAGCTACTTACAGTTAGTGAGTGCATACATTATTTTTTTATTTTCATACTGGCCCCCCGTGGGAATCGAACCCACAACCCTGGCATTGCAAACACCATGCTTTACCAACTGAGCAACATCCCTTCCGGCTATTCCCTCCCCTACCCTGGACGACACTGGGCCAATTGTGCGCCGTCCCATGGACAGAGATGGGGTAACTCCGTAGCGACATTTAGTGGCCATGGATGAACACTTGAGGATTTTATTTCCCGTACCAATAATAAACGATGCCAATATCTAGCTGTCACTACCGACCGAACCAGGTAGCAGGTAGGTTCTATCAACTGAGATTGTGTTGGAAACACACCACAATGTGAGGGATTTATTATTAAAATGATCCACTAGTGTTGTTTTGTTTTCCCGTCCTCCCTGTTCACGGCGTTACTGCGCGTTAATCCACCACCAAACTAGAGTAATGCCGCGATGTCCACCAGATGCACGTGTGTTTTGTTTTGCTGGATGTCTAGGCCGCATTTTCCTTACTTGACGCACATGTGCTTCAATTTTCAGCCAGTTAAAAGCTAGCTAGTTGGAGTCTGTGTGTGTACTTCCGTTTATACCTCTGCGTGGTTAAGCAACGCACGAGTTGAAAATATTAAACGCATGCGGTACACAGAAACGCACCGCAGCCTAGTGCGGCACCCTTCAATGTAGCGTTGCGGACTGCTCCGTTGACAATGAATGACACTCCGTTGACAATGAATGACACTCCGTTGACAATGAATGACACTGCATTCGGTGGACGTGAGGCGTAACAGGCAGTTAACGCCCTGGACCGGAGCTAGAAGGATCTCTATAACGGTTTGACGGTTTGTTGTGATGTGGGCGTCAACATAGAACGGCACGCGTTTATTATATGACACAGATATCCATTTCCGTTCCGTGTCGCGACCAAATCATCTCGGACGCAGTAGTCGGTTTATTCTCATGATTTTCTTCCAGTGGTGAGTCTAGAAGATAAAGAAGAAGCTCTCCTGAACTGAATGGATGAAACGTCAGCGTTGCTTGGCTACAAGGCAGGGACAGAGGATGTCTATTTTAGAAAAGCTTCGGTTACCCATGATTAGGTAAAGACAATGTTACAGCAATAACTGAAGGGTGCTTGTCCAGCCCTAGGTTTAACACGGGAGTGTAGGCTATTGACGTAATCATTTCTGTTATTTTGTAAATAAACATTGACACGCAGTGGAAGTAGCCTTTAGTGTCACAGTGTTGTGTTTAGGAAACAGCTACAGTAGATATAGCCTGTAGCCAACACCCACCCCATCCCATCCCATTCCCGCCTAGTTTTTAAACCCGAACATAACCCCAACAGAAGCGAACTAAACTGAACTGACCCGAAAGGAAGCGAACCGAACGGAATCATGCCGTGTACGTGTGGGAACTGGAGACGGTGGATTAGGCCTGTCGTGGTGTGTCTTTACGTAGTCCTGCTGCTCGTTGTTCTACCGCTGTGTGTCTGGGAACTACAGAAGTCCGAGGTGAGATAGAACAACGCCAAGATCTGACTTTCATATTAGGAGTAACTGTTGCTGTCACATCTGTTAGCCTATAATAGCGCACCCGTCAAAATACTTCGTTGTGTTATTCTCTCCTCAGCAACTCCTGTATGATTGTTATTGTATAGATGCTGTTGTTGCGCTAATGTGTTCATTTATAAACGGTATCTCCTAGTAAAGCATGGTTATGTAGTTAAACTTGGTCTGTGTTTCAGGTGGGGACCCACAGTAAAGCCTGGTTATGTAGTTGAACTGTGGTCTTGTTTCAGGTGGGGACCCACAGTAAAGCATGGTTATGTAGTTGAACTGGTCTGGGTGTTTCAGGTGGGGACCCACAGTTAAAGCATGGTATGTAGTTAAACTTGGTCTGTGGTTTCAGGTGGGGACCCACAGTAAAGCATGGTTATGTAGTTGAACTTGGTCTGTGTTTCAGGTGGGGACCCACAGTAAAGCCTGGTTATGTAGTTGAACTTGGTCTGTGTTTCAGGTGGGGACCCACAGTAAAGCATGGTTATGTAGTTGAACTTGGTCTGTGTTTCAGGTGGGGACCCACAGTAAAGCATGGTTATGTAGTTAAACTTGGTCTGTGTTTCAGGTGGGGACCCACAGTAAAGCATGGTTATGTAGTTGAACTTGGTCTGTGTTTCAGGTGGGGGCCCACAGTAAAGCATGGTTATGTAGTTAAACTTGGTCTGTGTTTCAGGTGGGGGCCCACAGTAAAGCATGGTTATGTAGTTAAACTTGGTCTGTGTTTCAGGTGGGGGCCCACAGTAAAGCATGGTTATGTAGTTGAACTTGGTCTGTGTTTCAGGTGGGGGCCCACAGTAAAGCATGGTTATGTAGTTGAACTTGGTCTGTGTTTCAGGTGGGGACCCACAGTAAAGCATGGTTATGTAGTTAAACTTGGTCTGTGTTTCAGGTGGGGGCCCACAGTAAAGCATGGTTATGTAGTTGAACTTGGTCTGTGTTTCAGGTGGGGACCCACAGTAAAGCCTGGTTATGTAGTTGAACTTGGTCTGTGTTTCAGGTGGGGACCCACAGTAAAGCATGGTTATGTAGTTGAACTTGGTCTGTGTTTCAGGTGGGGGCCCACAGTAAAGCATGGTTATGTAGTTGAACTTGGTCTGTGTTTCAGGTGGGGACCCACAGTAAAGCCTGGTTATGTAGTTGAACTTGGTCTGTGTTTCAGGTGGGGGGCCCACAGTAAAGCATGGTTATGTAGTTGAACTTGGTCTGTGTTTCAGGTGGGGACCCACAGTAAAGCCTGGTTATGTAGTTGAACTTGGTCTGTGTTTCAGGTGGGGACCCACAGTAAAGCATGGTTATGTAGTTGAACTTGGTCTGTGTTTCAGGTGGGGACCCACAGTAAAGCATGGTTATGTAGTTAAACTTGGTCTGTGTTTCAGGTGGGGACCCACAGTAAAGCATGGTTATGTAGTTGAACTTGGTCTGTGTTTCAGGTGGGGGCCCACAGTAAAGCATGGTTATGTAGTTAAACTTGGTCTGTGTTTCAGGTGGGGGCCCACAGTAAAGCATGGTTATGTAGTTAAACTTGGTCTGTGTTTCAGGTGGGGGCCCACAGTAAAGCATGGTTATGTAGTTGAACTTGGTCTGTGTTTCAGGTGGGGGCCCACAGTAAAGCATGGTTATGTAGTTGAACTTGGTCTGTGTTTCAGGTGGGGACCCACAGTAAAGCATGGTTATGTAGTTAAACTTGGTCTGTGTTTCAGGTGGGGGCCCACAGTAAAGCATGGTTATGTAGTTGAACTTGGTCTGTGTTTCAGGTGGGGACCCACAGTAAAGCCTGGTTATGTAGTTGAACTTGGTCTGTGTTTCAGGTGGGGACCCACAGTAAAGCATGGTTATGTAGTTGAACTTGGTCTGTGTTTCAGGTGGGGGCCCACAGTAAAGCATGGTTATGTAGTTGAACTTGGTCTGTGTTTCAGGTGGGGACCCACAGTAAAGCCTGGTTATGTAGTTGAACTTGGTCTGTGTTTCAGGTGGGGGCCCACAGTAAAGCATGGTTATGTAGTTGAACTTGGTCTGTGTTTCAGGTGGGGACCCACAGTAAAGCCTGGTTATGTAGTTGAACTTGGTCTGTGTTTCAGGTGGGGGCCCACAGTAAAGCATGGTTATGTAGTTGAACTTGGTCTGTGTTTCAGGTGGGGGCCCACAGTAAAGCATGGTTATGTAGTTGAACTTGGTCTGTGTTTCAGGTGGGGGCCCACAGTAAAGCATGGTTATGTAGTTGAACTTGGTCTGTGTTTCAGGTGGGGACCCACAGTAAAGCCTGGTTATGTAGTTGAACTTGGTCTGTGTTTCAGGTGGGGGCCCACAGTAAAGCATGGTTATGTAGTTGAACTTGGTCTGTGTTTCAGGTGGGGGCCCACAGTAAAGCATGGTTATGTAGTTGAACTTGGTCTGTGTTTCAGGTGGGGACCCACAGTAAAGCATGGTTATGTAGTTGAACTTGGTCTGTGTTTCAGGTGGGGGCCCACAGTAAAGCATGGTTATGTAGTTAAACTTGGTCTGTGTTTCAGGTGGGGGCCCACAGTAAAGCATGGTTATGTAGTTAAACTTGGTCTGTGTTTCAGGTGGGGGCCCACAGTAAAGCATGGTTATGTAGTTAAACTTGGTCTGTGTTTCAGGTGGGGGCCCACAGTAAAGCATGGTTATGTAGTTGAACTTGGTCTGTGTTTCAGGTGGGGACCCACGGTAAAGCATGGTTATGTAGTTGAACTTGGTCTGTGTTTCAGGTGGGTGCCCACAGTAAAGCCTGGTTATGTAGTTGAACTTGGTCTGTGTTTCAGGTGGGGACCCACAGTAAAGCCTGGTTCATAGCTGGAGTGTTTGTGTTCATGACCATCCCTATCTCTCTGTGGGGCATCCTGCAGCACCTGGTACACTACACACAGCCGGAGCTACAGAAACCTATTATCAGGTAGGAACACACCTGGTACACACCTGGTACACTACACACAGCCGGAGCTACAGAAACCTATTATCAGGTAGGAACACACCTGGTACACACCTGGTACACTACACACAGCCTGAACTACAGAAACCTATTATCAGGTAGGAACACACCTGGTACACACCTGGTACACTATACACAGCCGGAGCTACAGAAACCTATTATCAGGTAGGAACACACCTGGTACACACCTGGTACACTATACACAGCCGGAGCTACAGAAACCTATTATCAGGTAGGAACACACCTGGTACACACCTGGTACACTACACACAGCCTGAACTACAGAAACCTATTATCAGGTAGGAACACACCTGGTACACACCTGGTACACTATACACAGCCGGAGCTACAGAAACCTATTATCAGGTAGGAACACACCTGGTACACACCTGGTACACTACACACAGCCGGAGCTACAGAAACCTATTATCAGGTAGGAACACACCTGGTACACACCTGGTACACTACACCCAGCCTGAACTACAGAAACATATTATCAGGTAGGAACTATTTCTAAATGTAGGAGACCAGGTACCACTGATCTTCTCTGTTGTGTTTTTACAGGATCCTATGGATGGTACCCATCTACAGTCTGGACAGTGTAAGGGGAAACTATTATTACCATTTTATTATAATAATACTGCTATAACATATCTATCTGGTTTAAGACCTCGCACTGCAGAGTAAAACTATGGAACACGAGACTAGAACACAGAGTCAGACATTCCATTGGTTCATAAGGTTCTGGAATGGCTGAACATTCTAAGTTCTATTCAGACCTCCATGTCTCTATGGTAACAGGACTAATTGAGGACGGTGTGGTGTTGTCACAAGACTGGGCTGCTCAAATAGCAGAGTCAGCACACGCACACACACACACACACACAGACTATTTCTTTACAATGGTCACTCCATCAATCAATATGTGCTGGTTGAAAATAATGGACACATTTCATTTGGTCGTTCCCCATCTATCAATTAAACTGTCTTCCTCTCCCCCTCCTCTCCCCCTCCTTCCCTTGGACATCATCTTCTTCTTCTTCTCTAGTGGATCGCGCTGCGCTACCCCAGGATAGCCATCTACGTAGACACGTGTAGAGAGTGTTACGAGGCATACGTCATTTACAACTTCCTCATCTTCCTGTTAAACTACCTCTCTAACCAGTACCCCAGTTTGGTGTTGATGCTAGAGGTTCAGGAACAACAGAGACATCTACCACCTCTATGCTGCTGTCCACCCTGGGCTATGGGGAGAGGAGTTTAGGTATGGAGGGAGAGGGAGAGGGATGTGAGAGGGAGGGAGGGATGGAGGAGTACGCGCTGTGTTGGTAGTGGAAGTTTACCCCACCGGCCCGCCTCTGGGAGGTGGACCAGGGAAGGTCGCAGCAGGGGGGGGCGCGGTGAGAGGGAGGCCGCAGGCGAACGCGGAGGGAGTGAGTTAAGGAGAGGAGGGAGAAGGCCGACGAGAGGGAGAGGGCGCATCGAAGGGAAGGACGGGAAGGGAGACTGAGAGAGATGGCGCAGCGAGGACGGCGAGGGGAGGTAGGGACACGACGGAGGCACGGCTGAGGGAGACGAGAGGAGGGGGGGGGGGGCGTTGGAGTGATAGTGATAGTGGGCTAGTGGGATGGTGGGAGGAAGAGGGTGATGGAGATTGTGATGGATGAACATGAATACAATGTCTTGATTGACTGATTGATGGTTGGTTGTGATTGATTAATTGGCTGATGGGTGTGACTGATTGATGGTTGGTTGTGATTGATTGATTGGCTGATGGGTGTGACTGATTGATGGTTGGTTGTGATTGATTGATTGGCTGATGGGTGTGACTGATTGATGGTTGTGATTGTTTGTCTCTCCTCTGTCAGGGTGTTGTTGTTCCGCTGTAAGCTGGGGGTTCTACAGTACACCGTCGTCAGGCCCGTAACTACGGTGATAGCACTGTAAGTACGGCACTAACCAGGAAGTAACCAGGAATTAAAAAAAATATATAGATAAAATATATTTTGATTTGTTTGACACTTTTTTTGGTTACTACATGATTCCATCTGTGTTATTTCATAGTTTTGATGTCTTCACTATTATTCTACAATGTAGAAAATAGTAAAAATAAAGAAAAACCCTTGAATGAGTAGGTGTCCAAACTTTTGACTGGTACCATATACAGTGGGGAAAAAAAGTATTTAGTCAGTCACCAATTGTGCAAGTTATCCCACTTAAAAAGATGAGAGAGGCCTGCAATTTTCATCATAGGGACACGTCAACTATGACAGACAAAATGAGAAAAAAATGTCCAGAAAATCACATTGTAGGATTTTTTATGAATGTATTTGCAAATTATGGTGGAAAATAAGTATTTGGTCAATAACAAAAGTTTCTCAATACTTTGTTATATACCCTTTGTTGGCAATGACACAGGTCAAACGTTTTCTGTAAGTCTTCACAAGGTTTTCACACACTGTTGCTGGTATTTTGGCCCATTCCTCCATGCAGATCTCCTCTAGAGCAGTGATGTTTTGGGGCTGTCGCTGGGCAACACGGACTTTCAACTCCCTCCAAAGATTTTCTATGGGGTTGAGATCTGGAGACTGGCGAGGCCACTCCAGGACCTTGAAATGCTTCTTACGAAGCCACTCCTTCGTTGCCCGGGCGGTGTGTTTGGGATCATTGTCATGCTGAAAGACCCAGCCACGTTTCATCTTCAATGCCCTTGCTGATGGAAGGAGGTTTTCACTCAAAATCTCACGATACATGGCCCCATTCATTCTTTCCTTTACACGGATCAGTCGTCCTGGTCCCTTTGTAGAAAAACAGCCCCCAAAGCATGATGTTTCCACCCCCATGCTTCACAGTAGGTATGGTGTTCTTTGGATGCAACTCAGCATTCTTTGTCCTCCAAACACGACAAGTTGAGTTTCTACCAAAAAGTTATATTTTGGTTTCATCTGACCATATGACATTCTCCCAATCCTCTTCTGGATCATCCAAATGCACTCTAGCAAACTTCAGACGGGCCTGGACATGTACTGGCTTAAGCAGGGGGACACGTCTGGCACTGCAGTATTTGAGTCCCTGGCGGCGTAGTGTGTTACTGATGGTAGGCTTTGTTACTTTGGTCCCAGCTCTCTGCAGGTCATTCACTAGGTCCCCCCGTGTGGTTCTGGAATTTTTGCTCACCGTTCTTGTGATCATTTTGACCCCACGGGGTGAGATCTTGCGTGGAGCCCCAGATCGAGGGAGATTATCAGTGGTCTTGTATGTCTTCCATTTAATAATAATTGCTCCCACAGTTGATTTCTTCAAACCAAGCTGCTTACCTATTGCAGATTCAGTCTTCCCAGCTTGGTGCAGGTCTACAATTTTGTTCCTGGTGTCCTTTGACAGCTCTTTGGTCTTGGCCATAGTGGAGTTTGGAGTGTGACTGTTTGAGGTTGTGGACAGGTGTCTTTTATACTGATAACAAGTTCAAACAGGTGTCATTAATACAGGTAACGAGTGGAGGACAGAGGAGCCTCTTAAAGAAGAAGTTACAGGTCTGTGAGAGCCAGAAATCTTGCTTGTTTGTAGGTGACCAAATACTTATTTTCCACCATAATTTGCAAATAAATTCATTAAAAATCCTACAATGTGATTTTCTGGATTTTTTTTCTCAATTTTTCTGTCATAGTTGATGTGTACCTATGATGAAAATTACAGGCCTCTCTCATCTTTTTAAGTGGGAGAACTTGCACAATTGGTGGCTGACTAAATACTTTTTTTCCCCACTGTATATATATACAGTTGAAGTCGGAAGTTTACATACACTTAGGTTGGAGTCATTAAAACTAGTTTTTCAACCACTCCACACATTTCTTGTTAACAAACTATAGTTTTGGCAAGTCGGTTAGGACATCTACTTTGTGCATGACACAAGTACATTTTCCAACAATTGTTTACAGACAGATTATTTCATTTATAATTCACTGTATCACAATTCCAGTGGGTCAGAAGTTTACATACACTAAGTTGACTGTGCCTTTAAACAGCTTGGAAAATTCCAGAAAATGATGTCATGGCTTTAGAAGCTTCTGATAGGCTAATTGACATAATTTGAGTCAATTGGAGGTGTACCTGTGGATGTATTTCAAGGCCTACCTTCAAACTCAGTGCCTCTTTGCTTGACATCATGGGAACATCAAAAGAAATCAGCCAAGACCTCAGAAAAAAAATTGTAGACCTCCACAAGTCTGGTTCATCCTTGGGAGCAATTTCCAAATGCCTGAAGGTACCACGTTCATCTGTACAAACAATAGTACGCAAGTATAAACACCATGGGATCACGCCGCCGTCATACCGCTCAGGAAGGAGACGCGTTCTGTCTCCTAGAGATGAACGTACTTTGGTGCGAAAAGTGCAAATCAATCTCAGAACAACAGCAAAGGACCTTGTGAAGATGCTGGAGGAAACGGGTACAGAAGTATCTATATCCACAGTAAAACAAGTCCTATATCGACATAACCTGAAAGGCCGCTCAGCAAGGAAGAAGCCACTGCTCCAAAACCGCCATAAAAAAGCCAGATTACGGTTTGCAACTGCACATGGGGAAAAATATCTTACTTTTTGGAGAAATGTCCTCTGGTCTGATGAAACAAAAATATAACTGTTTGGGCTGATAATTGGACCATCGTTTATTGTTTGAGGAGGAAAAAAAGGGGGGGCAGCGAGGCGGGAAAGTAGGAAAGACTCACAAAAAATGAAAACATCTAGGTGATAGACAAGGTACAGGTTTGGGACCGTGGCGGGGATGGGGCTGGAACGTAAGAACGGGATGGGGCGGTGGTCGGGGGAAGGGCGAAGGACAAGAATTCATCTTGTCGTCTCCGGGACAGGTTGCACCGGCCTCCTCCTTCGCTTTGGAACTAATGTACCCCTGCTCCTCGCCCCTGTGCCTCCGATACGATCCTCCTCCAGGGGAATCTCTCTCCTCCCCCGTGTACCGCACCTGTACCTGTGCCTACCGCACGGAGTCCCCTCTTCACAGAAGCCCGCAATCTGCCCGATCAGTGTCCTGTTGTCCTTTCACCGCCCCGCGCGGGCCTGGCCTCCCCATACGTGGCAGGTGTCCCTCTCCTAGGGACTTTCGAACCCATCTCCGCTTCTTTTCTGTGCTCCATCGTGCTAACCTGCCCCCTCCAAATTCTCTTCATCTCAGGGGGGCTTCCGTACGCAGGCGCTCACCCCCACCACTCCGGCTCACCCGCTTTGGCCCCTTCCTCCTACCCCGACCGGTAACCCAAACTAGAACCCGAAGGCATGCCGACGGCACCTCCTCCTTCATGCTGTGAGCTCGGGTTCCTCGTGGAGGTTCCACTCCTATTGCTCTGGTGCCGGGAGGGTACACGTACAAAATAGATTGGCATCATGAGGAAGGAAAATTATGTGGATAATTGAAGCAACCATCTCAAGACATGTCAGGAATTTTAAAGCTTGGTCGCCAATGGATCCAAAAGTGGTGCCTAACTGACCTAAACAGGGAATCTTATTAGGATTTTTTAAAATGTCAGGAATGGTGGGACTAAACGGAGGTGTAAATGGATTGGCTAAGGTGTGTATGTAAATTCACCCGACTTCAACTGCCATATATATAGATATATATCCTAAATTACAACATAAGAGAATACAGATAGGAACGGTTTATAGGTTATTATTGTTTTTCTGATTCCACTCGAGCTAACCGAAAGGGGGGGCGACAAAAACAGAGAGAGAGAAAGAAGAGAGATGGAGAAAAAAGAGAGAGAGGGAAAGAAAGAGAGAGGGAGAGATAGACATATACGTATCAGCCCAAGACAACAAGACTACAAGGCAAGAGACCTAACGCATTCAAAGACAGAAATAAGATACCGAGAGAGAAATTATACACGGAAAAGAGCGCGATCGGAGACAACGAGCGCGAGAGAACGCCCGAGACGAGGGAGAAAAAAGAGAGCGCGAAGAAGCGAGAGAGAGAAGAGACAAAGACAAAAGAAAGGCGAGGAGGGGGAGAAAAAAAGAGACAGAGTAAGAAACGAACGGAGTGAGGAGATAGATCGAAGGCCTGAGCAAAAAACAGAGGAAAAAGGGCGTCGGGAGGGCGAAGACCGCAGAAGGAGGACCGCACGGGCGCGAGCGGGAGCGCGAGCGCGAGAACGACGAGAGCGGCGACGGCGCGCGCGCGCGGGCGAGACGAGCGCGAGAGCGACCGCCGAGCTGCGCGCGAGCAGAAGCGGCGCGCGAACGCCCGCGCGCGGGAGCACGAAACGCGAGAGAGAGCACACACGAAAGAGAGACGAGAGGAGCGCGCGCGCGACAGAGCACTCGATGGAGAAACCGCGGAGCGCGGGACCGCCCGAGCGACGAGGCGACACCCCGCGCGCGGCGACAGAACAACGAGGGAGCCCCCAAACCACAACCCCGCTCGCGCGGACCCGCCGAGCGCGGCGACAAACACGAGAGAGAGAGAACGCTGGAAGAGCGAGGCAGAAACACCGCCACCGATCCTCTCTACTCATATCTCTTTCTCAGACCCCCTCGCTCTACTTACCGCCCTATTCCCTCTCTCTTAGTGTCTGTCGTTGTGTGGTGTGGATGATGAGGGAAACTCAGCCCAATAGGAACGCCGGGACATACCTGGTCATAGTCAACAATCATCCTCAACTGGTCGAGAAAACCACACCTGGCATAGTCAAAATATCTCTCAACTGGTGAGAACACAAACCACTCTGGTCAAGTCAACACTATCTCTCAACCTGGTGAGACACACACACACCTGTCATAGTCAACAAATATCTCTGCAACTGGTGAGAAACACACAACCTGGTTCTAGTAAACAAATCCTCAATGGTGGAACACCACCACCCTGGTCAAGTAAAAAAAAAATCTCTAAACTGGTGAGAACACAACCCTGGGTCATAGTCAAAACAATTATCTCTCAACTGGTTGAGAACAACACCACCTGGTCATAGTCAACAATATCTCTCAACTGGTGAGAACACACACACCTGGTCATAGTCAACAATATCTCTCAACTGGTGAGAACACACACACCTGGTCATAGTCAACAATATCTCTCAACTGGTGAGAACACACACACCTGGTCATAGTCAACAATATCTCTCAACTGGTGAGAACACACACACCTGGTCATAGTCAACAATATCTCTCAACTGGTGAGAACACACACACCTGGTCATAGTCACAATATCATTCAAAATGGGTGAGAACACACACACCTTGTTCATGTCAACAATCTCTCACCTGGTGCAGAAAACACACAAACCCTGGTCTAGCAACAATATTTCTTCAACTCGGTGAGAACACACACACCTGGTCATAGTCAACAATATCTCTCAACTGGTGAGAACACACACACCTGGTCATAGTAAAATATCTCTCACTGGGAGAACACACACAACTGAGTCATAGTCACAATACTCTCAAATGGTGGAAACACACACCTGGTCATAGTCAACAATATCTCTCAACTGGTGAGAACACACACACCTGGTCATAGTCAACAATATCTCTCAACTGGTGAGAACACACACACCTGGTCATAGTCAACAATATCTCTCAACTGGTGAGAACCACACAACATGGCATAGTCAAAATATTCTTCACTGCGTGAGAAACCACACACCTGGTCATAGTCAACAATATCTCTCACTGGTGAGAACACCACACACATGGTAATTAGTCATTACCTATCTCTCAATGGGAGAAACACAAACTGGTCATAGTCAACAATATCTCTCAACTGGTGAGAACACACACACCTGGTCATAGTCAACAATATCTCTCAAACAGTGAGAACACACACACCTGGTCATAGTCAACAATATCTCTCAACTGGTGAGAACACACACACCTGGTCATAGTCAACAATATCTCTCAACTGGTGAGAACACACACACCTGGTCATAGTCAACAATATCTCTCAACAGGTGAAGAAACAACACACACTGTCATAGTCACAATATCCTCTCAAAATGGTGAGCAACACACACATGGTCATAGTCAAACAAATATCTCTGCAACTGGTAGAGAACACACACACTGGTCATAGTCAACAATATCTCTCAAAACGGGAGACACACACACTGGTTCATAGCAACTATCTCTAACTGTGAGAACACAACACCTGGTTCTAGTCAACAATATATCTCCAAGGTGAGAACACCACACACCTGGTCAAGTCAACAATATCCTCGCAAATGGGGAGAACACACACACCTGGACTTTACACTATGCAGTAAAAAATCCAATGTTTTACCTGCACTCAAATTCAGTAGATCTTCAGTAGATCTTCAGTAGATCTTCAGTAATCTGGCTGAATATATAGCGGACTGAAATACACCTCATGCATTTAAAAGCTTTGGAATGTAGCCCTTAACTTTATAGTCCTCAAAGGGCAATTGGAGTTACTACACCAAATTAACAAGAATGACAGACCATGCCTCAGTTAAGGGGTGTATAACCTGTTCCGTGCGCAACTGGCTCGAGGTCTCTATCTCGAGGAGCGAGAAACGAGCAAAAGAGGCGGGAGCAGAGCGAGAGGAGCGATCGCTCTTCTCTCTCTGTCTCTCGCCTCCCTCTCGCTCCTATCCGCTGCTCCTCTCCCTCTCCCTCTCCCTCTCTCCCTCTCTCTCCAGTTTGCCATGTATTGCCTGGTGCTCCTGTATAAGGCCTTGAAGGAGGAACTGAGTCAGATTAGACCTGTTGGGAAGTTCCTTGTGTTAAAAGGGGTCGTCTTTGTCTCCTTCTGGTAAGAGAGGGATGGAGGGAGGAATGCGTTTTTTGACAGTGTGTTTAGTGTATGCCTGGTACCACAACAAAGGAGGATACAATGCTCGCTCTCCCTTTTCCTCCACGCTCCCGACCGCGAGGCATCGCCGCGCCCGGGGACCGCACACGTCAGACCAAACTCCAGCGCCGCGCCCGCCGCGGGCCAGGCGCGCCACGCGCCCCGCCCGCGGGCCAGCGCGCGCCAGCGAGGCCGCCGCGGGCCGGCGCGCCCCGACGCGCGCGCGCCCGCCGCGGGCCAGCGCACGACGCCGCGCGCCCGCCGCGGGCCAGCCCCCACGCGCGCCCAGCCCGCGGGCCAGCGCGCCACGCAGCCGGCCTGCCAGCAGGCGGCCAGCGGGCCGCACGCGCGCAGCGCAAGCCGCGGGCCAGCGCGCCAGCGCGCGCTCCGCCGCGGGCACACGCCACGCGGCCCCGCCCGCGGCCAGCGGCGCACGCGCGGCCCCGCCGCGGGCCAGCGCTCGCACCGCGGCCCCGCGCCATCGCAGGCCAGCGGCCACGCGGCCCGAGCGGCGCCGCCGGGGCCAGCGGGCCACGCGCGGAACCGCCGCGCGGGCCAGCGCGCCAGGCGCGCCGCCCGCGGGCCATCGCGCCACCGCACCACGCGCCAGCGCGCCCGCGCCCCGCCCGCGCGCAGCGCGCGCGCCCTGCGGGACGCCAACGACAGCGCGCCGCCGACCGTGTCCAACGCCCACCGGCCCTCCGGTCCGCCGGGCCACGCACGCGCGACCCCCGGGCGCCTCGCGCCACGCGCGCCACCGGGAGCACGCGCGGCCGCCAAGCCGCATCGCGGCCACGCCGCGGGCCGCGCCCCGCCGGGGCTCAGAGCGCTCCCACGCCAGTCTGCCATCCACGCGACTCGTCACCCAGCCCGATCCAGCGGACTCGAGCCCTCCACTTCATTCCACTCATCTCTGCCACCGTCCTCTGTCCTCCCTCTTTCCACCTCTCTCCACTCTCTCCCCTCCTCTTTCCATCTCTCTCCACTCTCTACCCCTCCCTCTTTCCATCTCTCTCCACTTCTCTCTCTTGCCTCCTTCTCTCCCATCCCTCCATCTCTCCAGGCAGGCAGTGTTGATAGCTATACTGGTGAAGGTCGGAGTGATCTCTGATAAACACACCTGGGACTGGGACAGTGTTGAGGCTGTAGCCACGGGACTACAGGTACACACACACACACTGGACTACAGGTACACACACACCACTGGACAACAAGTACACACACACACTATCCCCCCCCCCCCACCCCAACTAGATGTTTCTAGCAGCCATAGCCCATCACTACAGCTTTATGTATAAACCTACCTCTCTCACCCTCTCTTTCTTCCTCTTCCTCACTACTCCAGGACTTTATCATCTGTGTAGAGATGTTTCTAGCAGCTATAGCCCACCACTACTCCTTCACCTATAAACCCACCTCTCTCACCCTCTCCCCTCACTACTCCAGGACTCTTTATCATCTGTGTAGAGATGTTTCTAGCAGCTATAGCCCACAACTACTCCTTCACCTATAAACCCACCTCTCTCACCCTCTCTCACCCTCTCCCTCACTACTCCAGGACTTTATCATCTGTGTAGAGATGTTTCTAGCAGCTATAGCCCACCACTACTCCTTCACCTATAAACCCACCTCTCTCACCCTCTCTACCCTCTCCCTCACTACTCCAGGACTTTATCATCTGTGTAGAGATGTTTCTAGCAGCTATAGCCCACCACTACTCCTTCCACCTATAAACCCACCTCTCTCACCCTCTCTCACCCTCTCCCTCACTACTCCAGGACTTTATCATCTGTGTAGAGATGTTTCTAGCAGCTATACCCCACCACTACTTCCTTCAACCTATAAACCCACCTCTCTCACCTCTCCCTCACTACTCCCCAGGACTTTATCATCTGTGTAGAGATGTTTCTAGCAAGCTATAGCCCACCACTACTCCTTCACCTATAAACCCACCTCTCTCACCCTCTCTCACCCTCTCCCTCACTACTCCAGGACTTTATCATCTGTGTAGAGATGTTTCTAGCAGCTATAGCCCACCACTACTCCTTCACCTATAAACCCACCTCTCTCACCCTCTCCCTCACTACTCCAGGACTTTATCATCTGTGTAGAGATGTTTCTAGCAGCTATAGCCCACCACTACTCCTTCACCTATAAACCCACCTCTCTCACCCTCTCTCACCCTCTCCCTCACTACTCCAGGACTTTATCATCTGTGTAGAGATGTTTCTAGCAGCTATAGCCCACCACTACTCCTTCACCTATAAACCCACCTCTCTCACCCTCTCTCACCCTCTCCCTCACTACTCCAGGACTTTATCATCTGTGTAGAGATGTTTCTAGCAGCGATAGCCCACCACTACTCCTTCACCTATAAACCCTACATACTGGAGGCAGAGGAGGGAAGCTGTTTTGACTCGTTCATGGCGATGTGGGACGTGTCTGACATCAGAGCAGACATCTCAGAGCAGGTCCAACACGTAGGTGAGTAGGCCGGGGTCACAGGATGGCCGGGGTCACAGGATGGCCGGGGTCACAGGATGGCCGGGGTCACAGGATGGCCGGGGTCACAGGATGGCCGGGGTCACAGGATGGCCGGGGTCACAGGATGGCCGGGTGGTCACAGGATGGCCGGGGTCACAGGATGGCCGGGGTCACAGGATGGCCGGGGTCACAGGATGGCCGGGGTCACAGGATGCTTAACTATGTTCAACATTAGCTCAATGTTACCCAATAGCAATGGATTGATGCTAACTAAACATTAGCTCAATGTTACCCAATAGCAATGGATTGATGCTAACAAAACATTAGCTCAATGTTACCCAATAGCAATGGATTGATGCTAACAAAACATTAGCTCAATGTTACCCAATAGCAATGGATTGATGCTAACAAAACATTAGCTCAATGTTACCCCAATAGCAATGGATTGATGCTAACAAAACATTAGCTCAATGTTACCCAATAGCAATGGATTGATGCTAACAAAACATTAGCTCAATGTTACCCAATAGCAATGGATTGATGCTAACAAAACATTAGCTCAATGTTACCCGATAGCAATGGATTGATGCTAACAAAACATTAGCTCAATGTTACCCAATAGCAATGGATTGATGCTAACAAAACATTAGCTCAATGTTACCCAATAGCAATGGATTGATGCTAACAAAACATTAGCTCAATGTTACCCAATAGCAATGGATTGATGCTAACAAAACATTAGCTCAATGTTACCCAATAGCAATGGATTGATGCTAACTAAACATTAGCTCAATGTTACCCAATAGCAATGGATAGATGCTAACTAAACATTAGCTCAATGTTACCCAATAGCAATGGATTGATGCTAACTAAACATTAGCTCAATGTTACCCAATAGCAATGGATTGATGCTATCTAAACGTTAGCTCAATGTTACTCCAATGTCAAATTAATGTTGCTGTTTAGGTTGATCTGTACCTCAACAGTTCCTGTTTAGGTTGATCTGTACCTCAACAGTTCCTGTCTAGGTTGATCTGTACCTCAACAGTTCCTGTCTAGGTTGATCTGTACCTCAACAGTTCCTGTCTAGGGTTGATCTGTACCTCAACAGTTCCTGTCTAGGTTGATCTGTACCTCAACAGTTCCTGTCTAGGTTGATCTGTACCTCAACAGTTCCTGTCTAGGTTGATCTGTACCTCAACAGTTCCTGTCTAGGTTGATCTGTACCTCAACAGTTCCTGTCTAGGTTGATCTGTACCTCACAGTTCCTGTCTAGGTTGATCTGTACCTCAACAGTTCCTGTCTAGGTTGATCTGTACCTCAACAGTTCCTGTCTAGGTTGATCTGTACTCAACAGTTCCTGTCTAGGTTGATCTGTACCTCAAACAGTTCCTGTCTAGGTTGATCTGTACCTCAACAGCTCCTGTCTAGGTTGATCTGTACCTCAACAGTTCCTGTCTAGGTTGATCTGTACCTCAACAGTTCCTGTCTAGGTTGATATGTACCTCAACAGTTCCTGTCTAGGTTGATCTGTACCTCAACAGCACCTGTCTAGGTTGATCTGTACCTCAACAGCTCCTGTCTAGGTTGATCTGTACCTCAACAGTTCCTGTTTAGGTTGATCTGTACCTCAACAGTTCCTGTCTAGGTTGATCTGTACCTCAACAGTTCCTGTCTAGGTTGATCTGTACCTCAACAGCTCCTGTCTAGGTTGATCTGTACCTCAACAGTTCCTGTCTAGGTTGATCTGTACCTCAACAGTTCCTGTCTAGGTTGATCTGTACCTCAACAGTTCCTGTCTAGGTTGATCTGTACCTCAACAGCTCCTGTCTAGGTTGATCTGTACCTCAACAGCACCTGTCTAGGTTGATCTGTACCTCAACAGCTCCTGTCTAGGTTGATCTGTACCTCAACAGTTCCGTTAGGTTGATCTGTACCTCAACAGTTCCTGTCTAGGTTGATCTGTACCTCAACAGTTCTGTCTAGGTTGATCTGACCTCAACAGTTCCTGTCTAGGTGATCTGTACCTCAACAGTTCCTGTCTAGGTTGATCTGTACCTCAACAGTTCCTGTCTAGGTTGATCTGTACCTCAACAGTTCCTGTCTAGGTTGATCTGTACCTCAACAGTTCCTGTCTAGGTTGATCTGTACCTCAACAGTTCCTGTCTAGGTTGATCTGTACCTCAACAGCACCTGTCTAGGTTGATCTGTGTGTACTCTCTTTGTATGTGTACTCTGTGTAAGTGTGTGTGTCTGCGTGTTCTCTGTGTCTGCGTGTTCTCTGTGTGTGTGGTCTGACCTGTGTGTGTTGTGTGTAGCTACCCCTAACCTGGTCCTGTCCCTGCGTAGTAACACCGCCCCCTCCCCCCCCTCAGGTCGGACGGTCCTGGGCAGACCCAATAAGATGTACTTTGGCTCCACTGGCCGTCCTGAACACACTGAACACACAGGTCTGTCTGGCCGTCCTAAACACACTGAACACACAGGTCTGTCTGGCCGTCCTGAACACACAGGTCTGTCTGGCCGTCCTGAACACGCTGAACACACAGGTCTGTCTGGCCGTCCTGAACACACTGAACACACAGGTCTGTCTGGCCGTCCTAAACACACTGAACACACAGGTCTGTCTGGCCGTCCTGAACACACAGGTCTGTCTGGCCGTCCTGAACACACTGAACACACAGGTCTGTCTGGCCGTCCTGAACACACTGAACACACAGGTCTGTATGGCCGTCCTGAACACACAGGTCTGTCTGGCCGTCCTGAACACACAGGTCTGTCTGGCCGTCCTGAACACACAGGTCTGTCTGGCCGTCCTGAACACACTGAACACACAGGTCTGTCTGGCCGTCCTGAACACACTGAACACACAGGTCTGTCTGGCCGTCCTGAACACACAGATCTCTCTGGCCATCATTAACACACTGAACACACAGGTCTCTCTGGCCATCATTAACACACTGAACACACAGATCTCTCTGGCCATCATTAACACACTGAACACACAGATCTCTCTGGCCGTCCTTAACACACTGAACACACAGGTCTCTCTGGCCGTCCTGAACACACTGAACACACTGGTCATACAGTTATGGATTTGATATTTCTGATCTGTTATATTTTGATTATTAGTCAGTTTCTTTATTTTATTTTGGATAATTTTATGCACTTTGAGATAATCTTGTAATGAAAAGTTATTTACAAATGTAATACATTATTATTATTATTATTATTTATTTATTTTATTTGAATGTTTGAAACATTTTATGCACATTCAGATTATCTTGTAATTTTATTATTATTATTATTATTATTATTAGGTCTCCTGTTGGCCGCGTCCCAGGGGGGGTCAGAGCAAGACATCATCGTCACGGAAACCGTCTCTGTCCCCACCTCCCCTCTGTCGGGTCACTACCAGGGGCTAGGCCACACCCACACGTCACGAAGCCACACAACAAAGCCACACTCTTACTCCGCCCCCGCCGGGTTCACTTCTTCTGATTGGGACGAGGACAGCGAGGAGAAACAATCGGAGACTGGTGCAGAGGCTTCGCCCACTGCCGACATCAGTGGCGCCCTCGTTGAAATCACTGGTCTCACTTCTGCTTACATCACTGCGAGTGGTGACTTCATTAGTGACATCTCTGATGGTGACCTGATTGGCGACGCCCCAGTGACATCAGTGACTGACGTCCCTCGTGACATTGTTGGTGACATTACTGGTGACATCACTGGTCACGCCCTCATTGACATCAGTAGCGAAGTCCCCGGTGAAATGAGTGGTGACTTTACTGGTGACATCACTAGTAACATTACTTTTAGCACGTAGGAGGCGTGTTCTTGGTCTAGAGTGTGTTCCTTCCTGTTTTCGTGTGTCCTCCCCTTCACCCTGACTGGCTGAGACAAGCTGGCTTACACCAAACCAATGTTTTTAAAGCTAGTGAGTGAGTTTCTGAAGGGGGAGTGAGCAAGTGCACAATTCAGAAAGAAGGCTCGAAAATCAGAACCAAGGAGAGTTTGGACACAGAAGAAGCCATGTTGGTGTTGTATTTTCCGTACCATAACCATAGATTAATTATAAATAACTGAATAAATTATGTTTATAAAACACTAATGTCAAGTTTGACATACTAATGTGATGTAATTCTGTTTCGTTACTATAATTACTATTGTTTTAATATTTTTTGAATTAACCATTTTTGAATAACAATGCCATTTTATTGTTGACAGTATTTTGTCGTTATCTGTTTCATTCATTTAATATACACTACCGTTCAAAAGTTTGGTGTCACTTAGAAATGTTTTTTCCATTAAAATAACAGTGTAGACATTGGTAATGTTGTAAATGGCTATTGTAGCTGGAAACGGCTGATTTTTAATGGAATATCTACATAGGTGTACAGAGTTCCATTATCAGCAACCATCAGTCCTGTGTTCCAATGGCACGTTGTGTTTGCTAATCCAAGTTTATCATTTTAAAAGGCTAATTGATCATTAGAAAACCCTTTTGCAATTATGTTAGCACAGCTGAAAACTGTTGAGCTGATTAAAGAAGCAATAAAACTGGCCTTCTTGAGACTAGTTGAGTATCTGGAGCATCAGCAATTGTGAGTTCGATTGCAGGCTCAAAATGGCCAGAAACAAATAACTTTCTTTTGAAACCCGTCAGTCTATTATTGTTCTGAGAAATGAAGGCTATTCCATGCGAGAAATTGCCAAGAAACTGAAGATCTCGTACAACGCTGTGTACTACTCCCTTCACAGAACAGCGCAAACTGGCTCTAACCAGAATAGAAAAAGGAGTGTCTAGTTTGAGAAACAGACGCCTCACAGGTCCTCAACTGGCAGCTTCATTAAATAGTAACTGCAAAACACCAGTCTCAACGTCAACAGTGAAGAGGCGACTCCGGGATGCTGACCTTCTAGGCAGAGTTGCAAAGAAAAAGCCATATCTCAGACTGGCCAATAAAAAGAAAAGATTAAGATGGGCAAAATAACACAGACACTGGACAGAGGAAGATTGGAAAAAAGTGTTATGGTCAGACAAATCGAAGTTTGAGGTGTTCAGATCACAAAGAAGAACATTTGTGAGACGCAGACCAAATGAAAAGATGCTGGAGGAGTGCTTGATGCCATCTGTCAAGCATGGTGGAGGCAATGTGATGGTCTGGGGGTGCTTTGGTGGTGGTAAAGTGGGAGATTTGTACAGGGTAAAAGGGATCTTGAAGAAGAAGGCTATCACTCCATTTTGCAACGCCATGCCATACCCTGTGGACGGCGCTTGATTGGAGCCAATTTCCTCCTACAACAGGACAATGACCCACAGCACCGCTCCAAACTATGCAATAACTATTTAGGGAAGAAGCAGTCAGCTGGTATTCTGTCTATAATGGAGTGGCCAGCACAGTCACCGGATCTCAACCCTATTGAGCTGTTGTGGGAGCAGCTTGACCGTATGGTACGTAAGAAGTGCCCATCAAGCCAATCCAACTTGTGGGAGGCTTCAGGAAGCATGGGGTGAAATCTCTTCAGATTACCTCAACAAATTGACAACTAGAATGCCAAAGGTCTGCAAGGCTGTAATTGCTGCAAATGGAGGATTCTTTGACGAAAGCAAAGTTTGAAGGACACAATTATTTCAATTAAAAATCATTATTTATAACTTTGTCAATGACTACATTTCCTATTCATTTTGCTATATTTCCTATTCAAACTCATTTCATGTATGTTTTCATGGAAAACAAGAACATTTCTAAGTGACCCCAAACTTTTGAACTGTAGTGTATATTAATACATTTATTGTACAAAAAAGATGAAATACCATATATAGACTGCAATAGACTGAACTACAGGTAATCGTTATAACACACATCCTGTTACTAAAGACAATACACAGCTAACTCTTCTTCCTCGTGCCATGGCAGACCATGGTTCTATTCAGCAGTAGGATGCCATTGACTTGTCAGCTGATTTATTCCACAATCTTCTTCTGTTGTCTTGGTAATAAAACCATTACAAAATGTCATGGTGTTAGCTTGTCTGAATGGTTTCCACAACTTCCCCACAGTAATGTCATGGTGTTAGCTTGTCTGAATGGTTTCTACAAAATCAACATATCCTCAAGCAACTGGGAAAGAGTGAGCGGTCAGTTATGTACAACAGCGAACCAATCAGTTGGTAAAGTGGCGCGGTGACGTGAATCCAACAAGCCATGGCTTCCCCCAGAGGAAAAGACCAGAAGCAACTTGGAGAAGCAAACCAGAGTAATGAACAGCTGAAGGACATCCAGGAAAACATAGCTAAAATGCTCTCAATGCTCACCACAACAAACTGTTACAATCTGTTGTTAAAAAAGTAGATTAGCTGAAAAATAAAGTAGAGTCTATCATGTCAGAACACGCACAAACAAGGAGTGCACATGAACGAACAAGAGAACAAAATTAACCTTTTGGAAACAAAGTTGCAAACTTTAGAAGATTAATTGGACCAGCAAGAAAACAGCAACCTGGTCTCAGAGCATTTAGTATTATTATGTACGTAAATCTGAAACACCCCATTTAGTGTGATATGTTACGTTTGGTACGGTTACATAAGACAGATGGTTGCTTAAGGCAAAAACGAAAGTAGGGTGGTTGGGTGGGCGTATAACACGAAAGTCTAGCAACCCAAGGGTTGCGAGTTTGAATCTCATCACGGACAACTTTAGCATTTTAGCTAATTAGCAACTTTTAAACTACTTACTACTTTTTAGCTACTTTGCATGTTAGCTAACCCTTCCCCTAACCATAACCGTAACCCTTTTAACTTACCCTTCACCTAACCCTAACCCTTTAACTCCTAAACTTAACCCTAATACCTAGCCTAGCTAACGTTAGCGAGCTAGATAATGTTCGCCACCTAGTTAGAATTCGTAATATATCATGTTTAGCAAATTCGTAACATATCATACGAAATGGGTGATGTAAACCACAAATTAATACATACCATACGAAACGTAACATATCATACTAAATGGAGTGTCTCTGATTTACGTACAGAATAATACAAAATGCTCTGAGACCAGGTTGGAAAAGGAGACCTTTCCAGCTATGTGGTCAAACTGATATCAGAGAACTTGACTTGGGTATATCACCATAGGATCTGGGACGATGCCATAGGATCGGTGTGAAACAGAAGAACGCAAAGAAAAAGCTGTTGAACCAAAGTCAACATTCTGAAGGCACAGGGGGGAAAGGAGATCAAAATCCACGGCCAGTCCATTAGAATTGTCCAGGACTTGTCTGCTAGGCTGAGAAAAAAAACGCAAGGAATACATTCTGATTATACAGTACTGGAGGAAAAAGGAATCAAATCTCAGCTCTGCTTCCCGGCTGTGGGTATGGAAAGGAACGCAAACGGTGGAATTCACAAGCCCCGATGAAGCCCAAAACAAGCTGCAAGAAACCTTTCCAGTTGAAGGATGCACAGAGGAGAGGACGAAGTGGGGAAAAGAGATAAGCACATACAGTGATGCCCAAGACCAGCTTATTGGAAGTTGAGACAATATAGTTCATCCCTCCCCTCAATACAATCTAGACTCCCCAAGTAACTGTTCTTCTCTATAAAGTAACATTTTAGTCATTTAGCAGACGCTCTTATCCAGAGCAACTTACAGTTAGTGAGTGCATACATTTTTCATACTGCCCCCCCCCGTGGGAATCGAACCCACAACCCTGGCATTGCAAGTGCCACGCTCTACCGACTGAGCTACACGGGATTAGCAAACACAACGTGCCATTGGAACACAGGACTGATGGTCGCTGATAATGATCCTCTGTACGCCTATGTAGATATTCCATTTTTTAAATTATTATTTTTAAATCTGCCGTTTCCAGCTACAATAGCCATTAACAACATTAACAATGTCTACACGGTATTTCTGATCAATTCGATGTTATTTTAATGGACAAAAAATTGCTTTTCTTTCGAAAACAAGGAAACTTCCAAGTGACCCCAAACCCCCGAACGGTAGTGTATATAATGGCAATGATCTCAGAATGAAGCCAGATTAGTACTTACTCGTTGACACTGACAGATAAGGCTAGCCTCCCATTTGTAGGCATTTTCGATTAGTGTGACTAACGCCGCCTGCACCTTGTTCTATTTGTAGCACAGTACCAAATGCACATTTCACAACTTGAGTGTAATGGGCGTCAGCCCTGGCTCCAATTCATGCTCACGCTTTGAGGTGAAGGCTTGTTGCAGAGGCTAAATGTGAGTCGCCCCAATAAAAAAAAGGCTACACACAATTGAGCTGTACTTTGCATTCAGCGATTTATTTGCCAATGCTTATAACAGTTGCATAAACATCTTCACAAGGTACAAAAACTACATCATTGCATTTTCATCCAGTCCTCCCGCTGACCAATGTCCTTTCTGTTCATGTTGATCAGATCAGAAGCTGCAGAGACCACAATAGTGAGTCCATACTGCCACCTGGTGTTCTACCACAGTAGTGCGTTCAGCATTCATCAGTCCAGGCTTTCAGAGGGTTGTGAAGCTCAGCTCTTCCACTTCCTCTGTTTGAAGCCCCCCTTCGCCCCCCCCGCCCCCCCAGGACCCTTCTTCAAACCACCATGATGAGGTTTGCCCTTAAACGTAGAACCCCCACCACCCCCAAATTTATTTCCCCTATCAAACATCTTCCCTCCAAATCTCTTAACTCCGTCACCGAATTTCTTCGCTCCAAACCGCTTGTCCCCATCCCCAAATTTCTTCCCTCCAAACCTCTTGCCCCCCGGTGACATCTTTCCAAAAGATTTGCCTCCATTCCCAAATGTCTTTCCCTCTTTCCTGTCCCCGTCACCCCCCATTCGGTCTCTGGGTTTCCCTCTTGGACCAGACCTATGAGGTGACTTGGAACCAAATGTGTCTTTACTGTCGTCGCCAGAGAATGGTTTCTTCTTCTTGAAGGGTCCGCCTGAGGTCCTTTCAGGTCTTTGCCACCTCTTGGCTGCAGGGAACATATCTTAATCTTTCTCCTCCCCTACAGCCTGTCTGTAGGACTCTGCCTCGTCGTCAGATTCAACAACCGGAGGCCTGTTATCTTGGTTCCCAGGATCCTCCACTTCAGGGTCATGCTCTTCCTCCTCCTGGCACTTCCTCTTGATGCCTGCCATGCTTCTTTTCATGTTTGTTGAAATGTGTGTAAATGTTAAGTTGTCTATGGTTTCTGTCTATGTATGTTTTTGTTTATTGTCATGTCATGGTGTTAGCTTGACCCCTTCATGAACCCGAGAGACCTGAGTGGTGGTAGTGTAAATAACAGCTCTATCTGAGACAACTGGGTAGGTAGGAAAGTATTCAGACACCTTCCCTTTTTCCACATTTTGTTACGTTACAGCCTCATTCTAAAAGTGATTAAATTAAAAATGTTCCTCATCAATCTACACACAATATCCCATAATGACAAAGTGAAAACAGGTTTTTAGAAATGTTAGCAAATGTATTAAAAATAAAAAAAACAGAAATACCTTATATACATAAGTATTCAGACCCTTTGCTATGAGATTCGAAATTGAGCTCAGGTGCATCCTGTTTCCATTGATCATTGATGTTTCTACAACTTGATTGGAGTCCACCTGTGGTAAATTCGATTGATTGGTCATGATTTGGGAAGGCACACACCTGTCTATATAAGGTCCCACAGTTGACAGTGCATGTCAGAGCAGAAATCAAGCCATGAGGTCGAAGGAATTGCCTGTAGAGCTCCGAGACAGGATTGTGTCGAGGCACAGATCTGGGGAAGGGTACCAAAACATTTCTGCAGCATTGAAGGTCCCCAAGAATACAGTGGCTTCCATCATTCTTAAATGGAAGAAGTTTTGAACCACCAAGACTCTTCCTAGAGCTGGCCGCCCGGCCAAAATGAGCAATTGGGGGAGAAGGGCCTTGGTCATGGAGGTGACCAAGAACCCAATGGTCACTCTGACAGAGCTCCAGAGTTCTTCTGTGAAGATGGGAGAACCTTCCAGAAGGACAACCATGTCTGCAGCACTCCACCAATCATGGAATTGATGGTAGAGTGGCCAGACGGAAGCCACTCCTCAGTAAAAGGTACATGACAGCCCACTTGGAGTTTGCCAAAAGGCACCTAAAGGACTCTCAGACCATGAGAAACAAGATTCTCTGGTCTGATGAAACCAAGATTGAACTCTTTGACCTGAATGCCATGCGTCACGTTGGAGGAAACCTGGCACCATCCCTACAGTGAAGCATGGTGGTGGCAGCATCATGCAGTGGGGATGTTTTTCAGCGGCAGGGACTGGGAGACTAGTCAGGCTCGAGGGAAAGATGAACGGAGCAAAGTACAGAGAGATCCTTGATGAAAACCTGCTCCAGAGTGCTCAGGACCTCAGACTGGGGCGAAGGTTCACCTTCCAACAGGACAACGACCCTAAGCACACAGCCAAGACAACGCAGGAGTGGCTTCGGGACAAGTCTCTGAATGTGCTTGAGTGGCCCAGCCAGAGCCCGGACTTGAACCTGATCGAACATTTCTGGAGAGACCTGAAAATAGCTTTGCAACGACGCTCCCCATCCACCCTGACAGAGTTTGAGAGGATCTGCAGAGAAGAATGGGAGAAACTCCCCAAATACAGGTGTAAACAGCATAGTGGGTAGATTTTTGCAACAACTAAGAGCGTTGAAGTGCGAGGCTCAACTTCTCCGCTGTTTTGGTCGAGTTGCTACCACAGCTGTAACAGTGTGAAGCGAACCGTTGCACAGATACCGCGTGTGACTGAAGTCTTGCATCTCGTTCATCTCAATATCTTCAGTGCTGCTCGTGGCAACGTCATTTTGCTAAATCTACCTTTAATGAATAGATGTATAGTTTATTTGTTCTAAAGTGGTATATATATATATATACACAGTGCATTTGGAAAGTATTCAGGCCCCTTGACTTTTTACACATTTTGTTACGTTACAGCCTTATTCTGTAACGAAGGTCGAGTCATGCATCCTCCGAAACATGACCCGCCTAACCACACTTCTTGACACAGAGCTGCACCAATGTGTCGGAGGAAACACCGTTCAACTGACGACCCAAGTCAGCCTGCAGGCTCCCGGCCCACCACAAGGAGTCGCTAGCCAAGTAAAGCCCCGCCAGCCAAACCCTCCCCTAACCCGGATGACGCTGGGCCAATTGTGCGCCATTCTATGGGACTCCCGGTCACGGGATCGAACCCCAGGCTCTAGTGACGCCGCAACACGGCGATGCAGTGCCTTAGACCGCTGAGCCACTCGGGAGGCCCTTCAGAATGGTTTATTTCAATAAGGCAACATTACATGGTACCAATAGCAGCGAAGGCAGATTTCTTTGATATATTTTACAATATTAATAAATAAGAAGCATAAATATTAACTTACTTAGTTCCATAAGTAAGTAAAGATGAAGTAAGTAAGTAAATATGAAGAACAAACATTATCCAACGACACGATACACATTTAAAACACACATAGGCCTGGGACTGATGGAACGTATAGAAACACCTACCTGCTGAGACTGAGACTAATGGAGATTATAGAAACAGAAATGACGGAGACTGTCCACCAACTAGAGAGAGGGGGAGGAGGGAGGCGGATGGAGGGAGGGAGAGAGGGGGATGGAGAGGGGGGAGAGAGGGGGATGGAGAAGGGGAGAGAGGGGGATGGAGAGGTGGCGAGAGAGGGATGGAGAAGGGGAGAGAGGGGGATGGAGAGGTGGAGAGAGGGGGATGGAGAGGCGGATGTAGAGGGGGAGAGAGGAGAATGGAGAGGTGGAGAGAGGGGGATGGAGAGGTGGAGAGAGGGGGGATGGAGAGGGGGATGGAATTTTGGAATTCTTTATGGGTCTGCTACTACTACTCCTGCTCCTCCCCTCCGCCGTGCGACGTCGCCGGAATACTAACCACCGGTCCTGGCATCCATCATTACGCACTCCTGCAGATCATTATGATTCCCACCTGGACTCCATTACCTTCCATATTACCTTCCCTTTATCATGATTATTCCTCAGTCGGCCCAACTCGGAGAGGGTGGAGAGCAGGATCTGATGGTTCACAGTATCAAAGGCAGCAGATAGGTCTAGAAGGATAAGAGCAGAGGAGAGAGAGTTAGCTTTAGCAGTGTGGAGAGCCTCCATGACACAGAGAAGAGCAGTCTCAGTTGAATGACCAGTCTTGAAACCTGACTGGTTTGGATCAAGAAGGTCATTCTGAGACAGATAGCAAGAGAGTTGGCTAAAGACGGCACGCTCAAGAGTTTTGGAGAGAAAAGAAAGAAGGGATACTGGTCTGTAGTTGTTGACATCAGAGGGATCGAGTGTAGGTTTTTTAAGGAGGGGCGCAACTCTCGCTCTCTTGAAGACGGAAGGGACATGGCCAGCGGTCAAGGATGAGTTGATGAGCGAGGTGAGTTAAGGGAGAAGGTCTCCGGAAATCATCTGGAGAAGAGAGGAGGGGTTAGGGTCAAGCGGGCAGGTTGTTGGGCGGCCGGCCGTCACAAGTCGCAAGATTTCATCTGGAGAGAGAGGGGAGAAAGAAGTCAAAGCATAGGGTAGGGCAGTGTGAGCAGGACCAGCAGTGTCATTTGACTTAATAAATGAGGATCGGATGTCGTCAACCTTCTTTTCAAAATGGTTGACCAAGTCATCCACAGAGAGGGAGGAGGGAGGGGGAGGAGGAGGAGGATTCAGCAGGGAGGAGAAGGTGGCAAATAGCTTCCTAGGGTTAGAGGCAGAGGCTTGACATTTAGAGTGGTAGAAAGTGGCTTTAGCAGCAGAAACAGAGGACGTTGTTAGAGCTGGCCCTAAAGGTGATATTCTTCTTTTAGGAGAATATAACAGTACTCCAAGTGCAACTGTTGAGGAGTTTGTAGCCTCAATGCCATTTTAAACTATAAATGTAATAACATGTATATAATACAACTATGTCAAGATGTTACTATTCCCTCTGCTAGAATAGACTGGAATGCAGCCCTAGGACAAGTGAACTGGAACAAAGTCTTGTTGTTGTCTGGCAAATATTGTATATCTAATAAGGTGAAAGAAGTATCATACAAACTCATTCATAGAATCTACCCTGTAAAGACCTTTATTGTACACAGATTCTAAATAGCTCTTGATAACAAATGTGTATTTTGTGGTTGTGACCCAGAGACTCTTGACCATTTCTTTTGGGACTGTTCTTAAGTCAGAAGATTTGAGTGAGTTAGAAGATTTTATTTTAAAAGAAACCACTATTAATGTTAAAGACTGATATTATGTTTGTTTTGATCCAAATGATTTGGGACCCTGATTTAACTTTCATTGTTAATTTTTCATGGAAGATTCTTTATTTTACTAGACACTCTTATTCAGAGCGACTTACAGTTAGTGAGTGCATACATTTTTCATACTGGCCCCCCGTGGGAATCGAACCCACAACCCTGGCGTTGCAAGCACCATGCTCTACCAACTGAGCTACAGGAGACCTTTATCCGTAACATGAAGAGGGCGGAGAACAAATCCCTCTTCACATTGTTTAAGATAGAATTGAAATATTATTTCGAAATTATCAGTAAGTGTAAAAACAAAAAAGCAATAGGTACCATAAAACGTTTTGACAAATTGAAAATGTATCCCGAAATGAAATACCCGTCTGTTAGGTTTATGTACTCTTGTTTGTAAATCTCTGTTTTTGTATTTGTTTTGTTCATAATAATACAAAATAATAATAATAATAATAATAATAATAATAATAATAAATAAAAATCATAACACTGCTACTTCCTGTGTGGTCATCAACATGCGACGAAACTGGGAGAGGGTTGTTACTAGTTAACCCAGCCACAAAGTCAAAATAGTGTATCATAAAGATTTGTTAAAAAGATTGCTCCTTGGTCTTCATTTAAGGTTAGGCATAAGGTTAGTAGTGTGGTTAAGGTTAGGTTTAAAATCAGATTTAAAGAAGAGAAACCGTAGAAATACCCGGGGGTTAGCCATAAT